TGAAGATATAGCCGATTTATTGTGTCAGCATCAAGTGACGGCTGAAGGGCTTCTCAAACTTTAAACGCGTTTTTCTCTAAACATTTTTTTGCGAATGGCGGGCACGATAACTCAAAAATTAATAACCCAATCGATTTCAAATTTTTACACGTTTCTCTGTGAGTGTATAGCTATCGTATGAACTAGGATAAATCCAATCGGTGAAGATCTTCCTTATTTTTTAACTTGGGTTTTGGTAAAAAATCGGCGATTTTCCAAAAATATTTTTTCAAAGGTCCACCATTTTGTTAATTTTAAAACGATAAAAAGCGAGTCAATAATCCTAGTTCATACGAGAGCCAGACATGTACTCTTTCTAACACCGTTTGAATTTTTGGATTCCGATGTTCCAGTGAGGAGTTATCGTGCCCGCCATCAAAAATAAGGACTTTTCGTTAATTACAAAAAACAACAACAAAAATTTTTTGTAAATTATTTTTCTTCTATTTTAAATCTTCAATTATATATGTGTAAAGTTACAAACCTTAACAAGCATTGGTATTGATTTACCAGCCCATTGAAAATCTTGAAAAATTAAAATCGAGAATGGGGGGGGGTTCCCTTAAGTGGAGAAAAATATTAGAAGTCATAACCTGTCAAGCATACCACGTGTACAAGTAGAATAGGGCATAATCAGACATCTTACAGGGAAACCTTGGTAAAATCTATGCCGGCTGCAGCTGTAAATGGTAAAAAGGGATATCATACTAAGTATTAGCAATCCAAAAAAATCTGTTTGTTAAAAAAACTTTTATCTTGGATACTTGCCGCTATGATGTTGCAATTACTTTCGTTTATCAATCACTATTTTATATTGAATTCACATAAATATTGTTTATTTTATTGCATTAATTTTAAGTTAAGATGTTCATGTTCACACATAAGAAAGAATAAAATTTAATTCATTGATTAACATACACGTATGACATTTTTATTATAAAAAACCCTGAACATACCGAAAATGACACGGAAAATTAAATCATCAAAATACAGAGAATTGGGGTTACCGTTATAGTGAGATTTGATAGCCAATGAGAATCCAAAGTATAAAATTACAGTCAATTTTCTTTAAAAACGTATCTAAACTCCTCCGTTAACCCACTGGGGTTTAATTGTCAATACCATTGTATATTTGCCAAATAAATGCACAAAAGTAGGTTAACCCGGTAGAGAGTTCTAGTGCAAATGTCGTTTAATACAGGGTTTCATATTTTTTTCGCAATTTTGTTAACCAAATATTTTGAAGTAGAGTTGTTCTATCTAGTTCAGTTAGCTGATCGCTCTTTACAGTTCAGCTCTTTTGACTGAACTAGTTCGTTCTTCTAGTTCAGTAGTTCAATCGTTCGTAATTAAGCTCTTTTATTCAGCTGTGGTTTTACTTCGGTCGTTCTTTTAATAGTTCTTCGCTCTCCGAATCGTTCAGTTGATAGTTTGTGTGAATAAAAGCAATATTACAATTTCGTAAAACATTATTATGGACCTATATGGCGAGGATAATTAAAAGAAAAATTTAAGAACAGTTTATGGACCTATAATGTGTGAATTTTTAAAAGTGGTGGAATAAAAAAGAGTTTTTTAAGAAATGTTTCAAAATAATAGAATAATTACTTGGCAACATAAATGATAGGCAACATATTTTTATTTGTGTTTACTAAATGAATGCGCTGTTAATATCACATCCAGAATAAAACTCGATCGGCATCACTTCCATTAAGACCAAATCGAACTAGGCCAGTAAAACTCTCACATTTGAACTAAAAGAAACGATTATTCCAGTTCGTTCTTTTAATGAACTAAAAAGAACGAATATGTAAGAACTAGTTCAATCAGTCTTTTAATTGAATAGTTAATTTGAACTAGTTCGTTCGTGAACTGTGCAACTCTATTTTGAAGTGTATTGCCATTTTGGTACTTTATTAAGTATTGATGGATTATTTGGTGCCAATGCAGGGTTGTGTTTGAATATCGGGGTTTAGGGCTATTCCTAAAACCGGCACAATTTTGCGTCATTTACCATACAAAAATAGTGTGATTTATTTTATCCTATTTTTGCGCCATACAGTACTTAATGAGTCGCTCGGTGCACATAGATTAACTCCACTTTTTGAAAAGTATTACATTTCAGTATCAAAGTTCTGGGTTTAGTTACAAAATTTTATAATTATAATAAACTAGCTGGACCCGTGGCGCTTCGCTGCCCCTACTAAAGTGATTAACATAGGATAGTTCACGTAGAAAACTATTTGTATTTAGTTTAAATGCTACTATTTATTAATAGCATTGATTGATATAGGTATTATAGTAGCCCCAATTACTGTTCGACTACATATATTTCGAAGTGTAATGTATCAGTACTAATACCGTAGCAGCTGGTTAATGTATACGTTATTTGAAGCTTGAGCTTGACTTGTCTTAATATGATTATACACTAATATATTTTCTACAATATTCACACGTTTTGCATTAATCGTTCAAAGACCAATAAAATCCTTCATTCCCATTACCATCTATTTATAATATTTTTAACGAACTTAGACATAGTTTTCGTCTTAACTCATGCTTGTATAATGTTCTTAATTCAAATAAATAGTTTTAGTAATATCCGTTTGATCAACTAAACTTAATTTTTCAAGTAATGTACACATTTTGTTTTCAGGTCAGCTATGATGATAACCCACCACAGATTTCAGATTATTATAACTTTTAATCCATCATCCGCATTTCGCTTCTGGATATCTCCCAATTATTGCTATTGCATACTTTTATTGAATTCATGTTCGTTTTCTCCAATGGCAGTAAAATTATTAAAATTTAAAAAAAACGTTCAAAAGCTGAAATATATATTTTTTTTCAAAATGACAAAATGTAAAAATGTAATGTCAAGAATTTTTTATTTTACACAATGTGTGTGTTCCAATGTGTATGAATATGACAATGGAGAGATGGAAAACAGTAGACGTTAGCCGAATTACTGAATTACTAATAATAGGACAAAAAATTATGAGTCGAAAATTTCTGATTTTGACCATATTTTACTTCCTGGTCATTTAAGATTGGATGTGTACTTATCTGAGTATCATACATACTTTTATGAACATATTTATTGAAGATATTCAGATATATGCATAGACAATTAATATTAGTTCAGAGGTATGATTACGGTTGATGCTATAACTCTTCGTCATTGCGGAATTTTGAAAGTTTATTTTGCATATTTTACTTCCATGGGATGGCATTTCTGACTGCGAAAATTTCTGCAAAGTCTATTCAGCGATTTTTGTGTCTACAACCGAAAGTGTTTCTTTTGTCCATGTATAGATATATTAAATTCAATTGTGAGTAAATTCCGTCCATTGTATCGCCCCAATCATATGCACGATGCGTATTTGTAACCAATTTACTCAAGCAAATTTTAAAGTGGGAATTTGTAACGCCCTGTAGGATATAAACAGAGAATACCTATGTCATTTCAGATTTGTGATTACTTTTGATGCTATAACTCCGCCTATGATTTTTCTATCAGGTAGCATGAGGTGCTGTAAAATTCACAGTAAAATCTGTTGAGCAGTTTTTGACTAATCAAACAAAAAATGTTATTTTCGCTGTATGCAAATTATTTAAGTGCAACGGGAGGGCATTTTCCCCAATCGTACCACGCTCATTTTTTGTATGGATGATGTGTGTTTTCACCTACGTTATTCAGACAAATTTTGAAGACGTTCCATCCACGAGGAATTTTAGAAGTTTATATATCCTATGTTACTTTCAGGATACGTCATGACGACATACTGTGTAAATCTCATTAACACCTGTTCAGCGGTTTTTGCGTCTATTGGTAATATACAAACAAACAATTTTTTTCTATTTTATATACATATGTAGATAGTTTTTTCAAGGCAGCCGTTCTCAATTGATGCGTTAGTATACATTTCTTTTGCTCCATTTTTATATATATATATAGATTTTATGAATAAAAAAGATTATTGCCGTTATGCATTCTACATTATATGGTTGAAATCGTATTATCAAACGAATTTTAAAAACAACATACTTCATCGCGTTTCTCAACACTTTATGGATTTAATCGATGTCTACACTGAGTGCCTGGAATTATTATGCGTTTTCAGCTGATTTTAAATTAAGAAAACCCCGATAATATGTATGTGGGAAATAGAAACAATAATTAAAAAATTATTTCACATTAAGAGAAGTCTGAGAATATGTGTGTGGGAAATAGAAACAATAATTAACAAATTATTTCAAATACACATTTGAGATAAAAAACTTATTTTTTATTTTAAAATTCGAGGTAAAAATTTTGTTAACTAATATATCAGATGGCAGTCCTTTGAAATAATCGGAAAGCCGTTGTAAATAACCTTCATTTATTTTCAAGATTTCGTAAAACCACATCATATAAATACGCTATTAGCATAGGATTTCGAGCAAATCAAGATATTGATTGGATTTATTTTTTTCATGTAAATCGAGGTAAATTTAGATTAGAGATTACGCACATTATCACGATAAAGTTATAGTCTAAACGCTTCTTAATACATTTTGACTCGTAAAAAGGAACGTAAAAGAGAGAACCTCATAGTATTTTGTTTGTATTTTGCATTTTGTTCTGACGAACATTTGAATTAACCCGTTCATACCATGATACAATTATACAAGGTAGGGTAGCTTTTGGCAATAATGCCAAATAAATGAAAACAAATGCAACAAGTTGATCTATTCATTTGACATATTTTTAACATGTCAGGTTTTCTTTTGAAAATCGAGTTAAGGATATGATTTACATGTTGTTTCATTCACAAATCATACATTTCTTCTAACAAATGTTGTGAAATTCGTCTTCAAACAAATCGATTTTTGAATATATTTTGTTATATTTTTCAAAACATTACACACACAGTCACAAACTTTGTATATGACTTTGGCATAACAACCCGCTAGCAATGGAAATTCCAATTGATGGTAAGTAACTAGTCCCAGCACTAGTTGTTTAAATGGGGAATATGAATATAAATATCCAAATAGAAGTAAAACACATTTATATTAGAATTTGTCCAATAAAATATTGGCGATTTATTGTCGTAAACAATATTACCTTTTTATTACAATTTGTGTTGGTATGCTCTGTGTTAGCTTAGTGGACGTAATCCTTCAAGCGTATTTTGACAATTTATCTAGACTGAGAGATACAAAGGCACCGAATGCGCAAAGTTGAAATTTAGATAGTATGACAAAGAAATACAAAAATGGATAATATTCTTAATTGAACACTAATTATAAACCGTACAACTTATTAATTTGACCTTAAAGTAATAGAGGAGGAACTAACTTTGATCCTATAGTAAGCGAGAAGGGGTCACTTGCAATATTAAAGAAAAAACTCAGTGTTTTTGGAATCAAAAAAGAAGAGAACAATATTCAAACATTCTCTTCCAACAGTCACAAAAACTATTTTTTTTTTTATGTTATGTAGTTAGTCCCAACACTAGTTATAAACCGTACCAGTTACAAATTTGAACATAAAATAATATAAACGGAACCAATTGACTACTACTTTATCCTATAGTAATCAGAAGGCGTCTCTTGAGATCTTAAAGAAACAAAAAAAACAGTTTTAGGTTGTTGGTCTGCATAAAAAAGATCCGTTATTCTAAATTAATGCAAGACTGATTTTATTTAGAAATAACCAGTCTTTTTTGATCATCTTGAAGTGCAATGCCATCAAATTGTGAAATGTTAAACAAAATACAAATGATTTTTTAAACTAAAATGGAAAGATAAATATTTAAGTACTTCTATATATAATTATATAATTAATTTCCTATTGAATATATATTATTGTATTTTCATTACACATCAAGGTCATGACATCTATTACAAAACGTGAAGGTAAATTGTGGAAAGGGGGATACAAATTATCTTAGTAATTTTTTAAATGTTATTTTATGTAAAATATTAAACATATATTTCTTCTTTGTTCACTATAATATTATAATCATTTTTATTTATTTCCACATTCAATACCTATAACCGAAGGATCTGACATGACTGAAATGTAATTGCATGTACGGAACTAGAAAGGCGGGTAGTCTAATGTAACTAGTCTTTGACTTTAAACATGTAACTAGTGCAATATTAGTCCTCGGGTAAGCGAGGGAGTGTCAATTGGTTACCTCCTATGACATCCCCATATTAAAGTAAACAGTTAAATACATTGTTAAGGGGTGTAAAGTGGAACTTGTAACTGGATAACTGAGAATCGACGAGTTTCAGATTACGAACTGGTTCCTCTTGCTAGCGGGAAGCCAGTATAAAAAATAGTAAGCACTACCTAAAATTCAACAAGAGCGTTCGACGTTATTCACCACAAAAGTAAAACACATGTATTTATATGAATGTTACCGAAATACGTCGACTTGCGACGTATTTCTTTTGTTGAAAATAGAATCGAAACAAAAAGAAAATATGAAAATTTCAATAAGAATGTGAAAGAGATATAGATTCGACGTATTTGGGTAATACGGCCGTAAAAAACATTTTGCAATAGTGGGTATGTTGAATATTTTTGAACGCCTCGTTGAATTTTACGTAACGTTATTATAAGTTGCCATGGCCTACTTTGAATAATTGTGCCTTGGTTCATACAACACTATTCTTAACTCATGTCATCAGACTTTATTTTTTCAAATTTGTTGTTTCTTGTTTTACGCCAAAATTTTAAGATATATGCATGAATCACATATGAATCTAAGTAGAAAAAATGATTTTCTTTCACCTGACTAAAGTATGAGTCCATATTTATTTACTTTAAATTCATCTTTTAAAATTTTTAGAAAATATGGTTGTATTAAATACTTTTTATACCCTTCACCACACTGTGGCACAGGGTATTATGTCTTTGTGCATATGTTTGTAACAGGCAAAAATAATCGAGATAGACCCATGGTTCCTTTTGAGAATATGCATAGAATCACTTTCTGAGTCGATTTATGCATGTCCGTCCGTCTGTCGATGATAAATAGTCGGCCCTGTCCGACTTTACTACTTTCCTTACAGGTTTATATTTTTTAAATTCAAATGTCACATATAAAATATTGGAGAATTTTTTGTTTGGGTTTCCTTACATTTGTTTCTTGTTTTGAACGCTAATTAGAACCAAAATGAAAGAACAAAATATTTATCCTTCTGAATATACAAAAACTAGAACAATTTTCACTATTCATTCATCATTTTCAATTTTATTAAAATTAATATATTTTCGATTTCGATTAATACTCTCAATTGTTAGGAATGGGACAATTTACTTGGTTATTCAGAGAGTGATTCGATTTAAACAACGTACAAAAGTCGGAGTTCGCTCAGACAATTTTGTATGGGGAACTAAGTTATTATTTTATAATTCAGGGTCGAACAACGAATGAGAGAGCGAACAACGCCCGTCTGTACATGGCATAAGATAGTTTTGCCTAAACTTGATAGTTTCCAACAGTTTATGTTAATTATCAAAAAAAAAAAAAAAAAACATCGTCAAAGACATATGGAACCCTTAAGTATTATGTCGCCAAAACAATGACCACTGTTTATATATAAATAATAATAATATTGCACCGCAATCAAATATCTTTTAGATTCAACTCAAGTAGTTATTACTGATTAAGGCAATAGGTATGGATGGTTGATAAGCTAAATAATTAGTTTAGGGTTTAACACCTTTGTGACTTCATAGGCTAAAGATAATAGACAACTTTTGGGAATAGTTTTTATACAAGTTGTAAGTATATAACATATTTTAGAAGTATTCGGTGCATTTTAATTTCATATATTCAAATTCAACATTTCTATTTGAGTATTTGGATACTTCGCACCAAAAGAAATGTTGTAAGAAATGTTATGAGAAATTGTCCAGTACTGAGTACAATGTGGTAATTTATTCCAAAGACATAATTTTTGATTTTCATTCCAGAATCGCTATTAGTTTCCCAAATAATATTTAAGTCATATAATATCGAATTTATTTTCTATATAAAATGAATTAACAATTGAAAGTAATATTTCAATATCGTGAACCAATTGAAATAGAAAAATAAACTCTACACAAAATATTTTTAATAGAGGTCCGTACAAACAAAATAGATACTCGTTGATAACTTTCTAATAGTCTTCACTAATCATAAATTTCAATTGTCTTAGCCGAAGAAAAAAGTTCATTACGTTTTTATATATCAAAGTGATCAGACACCATCGGCGCAAATGAACAATCGGCAAGATTATTTCAAAAAAAATAGCAACGGAATGGAAATTATTCGAGAAATTAATCTAAATCTGATAACATTTTTGGTGATAATTTTAACAAAATGTTGGTAAAGAAGAGGATTTCTAAATGAAAATTTGAAAGAGATTTTGTGAAAAATATTCATTATATTATGTTATTTGATTTATGAATTGTAAATTATTTGGCCGGGCCGAGCCACCACCAGGTGGTTTGCATTCAAAATTTCTTAAATCGATCTGAAGCTTTAAAATTCCAAAAATGGAGAGAGACCTTTCCATGTGGACTATAGACCGGTATTGGAAAATAAACAAATTTAGGATAAAACGTTATATGGAGGCTACCCTAAAATGTGTACTAATATAAATACCAAAATTTCAACCCTGCTTGGACCTACATCACTGTCACTACATTCCGTGTACTTTTAGTGTGAATTTCCCAAACCAATTCCCTACATACACAGATTTGTTCACATGGTTACAAAATGTTCTGCAATGTTTTCTAAAATTCAAAGATTATTATAATTGCAATAATCAATTTTTTTTAAATATGCTACCGACAACACCCTTATCGCTTGTCCTCTATTGTTCCAGGTTTTTGTCATGCTATCGTTTGCTATAAATGTGATTCTATTTCCTTCGAAGGCTGTGCCACAACCTTAAATGACACGGAAATACCATATGAGGACTGTGGATCATCCACGCTGTGGTGTGCAACGGCCATTGGTGAGTGATAACAAACAAATTATGAATCCCGGTATACATACGTATGTATGTGTATCAGAGATGGTCCGTCAGAAACAGTGACGTAAATGACATACATTTCCGACGTATAATACATACGTCAGAAACGTCGGAAACCCACCCCAAACCATTAGGTTTTTGACAAAATAGCTATTTCTAATAATCAATTTCGAAATTACGTATGTTTTATTCAAATCCATATCAAATTTCAAAATTTTCTTCCCCAAAAAGTTTAGAATTTTTTATCAGTTATTGTGAGGAATAGTCAGATATATGTAAAAATAATATATATTCTTGAAAATAACTGTATATGGTGATAATATTCAAATAAATGACGTTTAATACATTTATTACATTTTATACAGGTATATGACGTTTTCGACGTTTACACCTTTTTGACAGTCGAAAACCTAAACATTCGTCACACGGACCATCCCTGATGTGTATGTATTACAAATGTGGTGTCATTACTTGGTCATTTTGGTCACTGACCTTTGCTCTGTTGATATGCAGAAGGAAAGTGTCAGTTGACATGATATTTGCAAATTACATACATACTCGGAAACATGAATTATGTGACATGTTGCACACCATCTGATATAACCCTTCTGCATGCAATAATTTCAATGTGTCTATTTTTTCAGTTGATAATGTTACCTACCGGGGATGTTCAAGTTCGACACCCAGCATTGGGGCTTCGTACCGGAAAACATGTCAGATAAATCTTTGCAATAAAGGCGTTTACCCACCCGGCAGGATGAAGTGTCATCAGTGCAGCGGTGAAGGTTGTCAAATGAAACCGATGGGAAAACCTCACCCATGTCTGAACTTCAGCGAAGATGATGCCTGCTACCTAGACATACGTTCACCCGACCAAGTTTATCGTGGCTGTAAATCAGATCGGAATCATACTATTTCGGATAGGGCGATTTTCTGCGATTACAACGGTTGTAACGACGCATCCTCAACGGGAACGCTAAAATGTGCCCACTGTGACTCGCATCAACGACTGGGATGTAAAATGGATCTGACGTCATCGTCCAATATAAGCCAATACGAAGTGTGCGAAATGAAAACTACGCTGGATAACAGCAACACGTGCTTCATATACAAAAATTTGGATCATGTGGTGCGTGGATGTTCCGACAGGCATATGACAGATGAAATGCGACAACATAAGGATCGTTTGACAGAATGCACGGGACATGATCTCTGCAATTCAGCCAACATGCCTTTCCAGCAATGCTTAGTCTGCAACTCTGAATCGGGCAAAGATGATGATTGCCGTTTTACTCCTAGTTTAGTTCGTAGCAGTTATTGTGGCTCACCCGAAGCGTCCTCGTGTTTCGCTGTCGAATACGAAAATTGGCATGTGGAACGTGGTTGTGGTCGTCCTCCAAAACGCGCCGATATAAATCGTCAATACGAATGCGATGAGGGTAAGGAATGTAATGCTACGCCCTTTGTACGCTGCTATAAATGCTCCACCGAACATAACTCTGATTGTGCGGCATGGCAACGTCCTGGTTTCTTGGAAATTGAAGAATGCCAAAATCCAGGAGCAAATTGTGTTATAGCAACATTTACCGATGACATTACCAAACGGGGATGTGAAACACAGCTACTGAACTGTACCCTTAGTAATATTGCCGAATGTCAAAGTTGTCAGGGCAGTTTTTGTAATCGTGGATCATTTCCTCCGGATCGCTTACACTGTTATCAGTGTGGAACCGAAGTTGACGATTGCAAAACAGCATTAGCTGGACGTCCCACGCCATGTCCCAAAAATGAACTTCAACCTGCAACTGGTGCCAAAGAAGGCTGCTATGAATATTTCAGTTTGACGCAGAGGCATGTGGTGCGTGGTTGTGCTTCAAATACGTCCGAGTATTACAAGTGTATGTTGGAATCCGGCTCCAAGTGTAAATTGTGTAATAAGAATGGTTGTAACAATAATCCTATGGAAGAATCACGTTTATTGAAAACTATTTCTAAATTGAGATTAACTTAAATATATCAATATATTTGAAATAAATTTGATGAAATACAACGGAATTGCAAATAAATGAAGCATAAACTAAAAAAAATCTTGAGACATCAAATGGAAATGTAATTAGCATCCCAATCCAAACCACTTAAAGCGGATTAATATATAGCATTTAATCAGGATTAAAGGCTGAATCAGGGGTTTTTTTCTTAATCAGGCTGAATTTAGTAATATTTATCATACAAATTTAAATCATTTAATCAGGGTTGTTTTCTTAATCAGGGTTGATTTCTTAATCAGGGTCTATTTTAAAACATGGTCAAATTACTTCTGTCGCACCCTCTTACAAATTGAAAATATGCTATTGACTGCTTCACCGCCCTCAAAAAACTGGAATACAACAAATATGCCATGTTGAGGACTCAGGGCTTTATATCGAGAATGAAAGATGATTCGAAACGTATAAAACATGTTACGGAAAAACAGGCTTCAGATATATTGAAGGTATGTTCGTTCTTGTATCGCCAAAACGTGCAGTTTCCGTACTGAATTTTCCTATTGAAATAATATAAACTTTTTTATACAGAATATTTATGTTTTTGTAGCAGCCCAATTGCTTTTACATAATGGGCTGAGGTCACAGACGTTGGCCGAGTAAGACTCGGTTCGTTTCGGATCGTAGACTCCACTGTCGTGGAAACGACTGAAGTACAAAAAAAAATATGTATATATAAGTACACCTAAGTTTGTTTTTACACGGTAGATTGGTTCCAGAAAAGCCGTATGAAAAAAATAACCATGTAAAAAAGGGAATTCCCCTAAATAAGTGCTATTCACATTTGCTTTGACCAGTAAAAATTGTTTGTACGCGCTAAAGGGAAATTCAGTTAAATCTTTAAGCTAGTCTTCGCAAACTATCGATACTATCGATGGTTTCAGACTTTTTTCTTTCATAAATACTTTTTTGTGATATGAACATACTTCGCAAAAATTAAATTTGACAAAAAATTTAAGTACATAAACGTCAAATCGTGCTAAATGGAATAAAATCGCGTAAAAAATTAAAAATATTAATATTATATCAAAACCGTGTAAAAACAGACTTAGGTGTATACTACAAAAGTATTACATATAAATATTTATTCTACGTATATCAGGATGCACTTGTAAATACATAGAGTGTATTTTTTTAAAGCGCTAAAATAGAATTAAAAATTAACCTTTATTTTGACTGCGAGTTTGCAGTCTGGAACCACATTTTGAGGACAACAATAAAATCGGTTATCCTCGCGATGGAAATTTTGGCCATTGTAAATTCTGTATTAAAAAATCAATGAGACGATGATGATCAGTAATTCCAAGTTTACCGTTTATTATATTCATTACTGTTAGTGCATGGGCAGGTGTAGTTACATGGTGTCCAAAGCAGTGTGGTACCATTGTTCCTGGTTTAAATAGCCTTAAGCTCTTCTATTTCTCGACGCATGCAAGAAAATGTCTACTTCTTCATCTTCAATGTTTTTTCACTTCTTTAGACAACCAATTATTCAACAAACACTTTTAATTTACTGACTTACTTCGTAGTATTCTTTCTTGTCCATTATTAAGTTAGAAATTATATTAATACGTTTACATTTTAGAAAACTGGTTTGCTGAAAACTAATACACTTCAACGATAATAAACAAAAACAATTCAAGTTTCATCATGGCGTCCCCATAAAACAGTCTGTACCCATTATGAAAAATCAGTTCGTTTTCATAACGCAATAGCGGCACCTAAAAGGACTGTTTTCGTTACTTTTAGGTTAATCAGTTCGTTTCCATTACGCAAAATCACTTCGCTTTCATACCTTTTACACAGAATTTATTTCATCTTATTTTCATATGAACAAATATGAAAGAGTTAGAAAAATGGTGGATCGTTTTCGCTTCGCAAAATGCGTTACGTTTATTTTTCTGAGAGGGAATGTTTCCTGTGGTACGTGGAATTAGAAGGATTAACAGGAAAATAATTTTCGATCGTAATAAAAAAACACAGCAATTAGTTTGGGTTTGGATCCGAAACTTTTGAGAGGCCAAGCATATGTCTCCGCGTCTAACATATCAGGCAATTATAATGGAGTGCAAACCACTATTAAAACAAAATGTTCTGCGGTATACATAATTTGTTCTTTTCATATTTTGAAATTAAATATAAATGCAGCTTCGAAGATTCGGGAAATTCGAAGTATATTTTCTTTAAGTTTGGACATTTGTTCATTCTTTCGAAAATCTCCAAAAAGGTCTGCTACTTTATGTAGAATATTTTGAGAAGCAAATAAATCTTTCAATTGACTACATTCATAATGTTAAGCGTGATGGATTGAGCAGCATGATTGCATACAAATATTTAACGAATCTATAGAAGAGATAGAAGAATCTTTGGAAGAAATGGGGGGAAATTGTAAGATTTATTTCTAAGAAGTAAAAGTTTCAGTGCCAAGAAGGGTTGGTACGCAAAATTAGATTTCAAATGTAATGAGTTCGAACTCTGAGTATTTTTATAGAACTACATTAGTAGTCAAAATTCGTACTTTACAAGATAAATTACGTATTTAAAGCACGAAGGAATGAGACTTTAAACAGGGATAAAGATATACATTTTGATCTCTGTAAAACATATATGTCCAAAACTGCCGAAGCCCCTATTTTAAAGTATGTGGTTAACGCATATTCTCTTTTCGTCAGTCGTTTTTTTGTGGTGAAAACTCAGTCACGCTCCCTCTCAATTTCGTTCCATTATTTGATAAAAATTTGAGAGATTTTATTTATAAAATATCACTTCCATAAGAAATATACTTAATTTCAGAACGACCAATACGAATATTACAATTAAATACAAATTTTCTGAATATGTCTCCCAATACCCTGTATTTCGATTCTGCAGGGAGCATTCTCGAAAAATATGATTTGGAGAGAAAAAGAGTTTAGCTCTACTCATCCGTCGTTCGATTTTATAATGAGAAAGAAAGGGAAAATATTGCATATTGCGGTGGCATTTTTGACGTGCCATTATGTCAATAATTTTGCAAGTTTTATATTGGCATTAGAAACATTTTGCAATGAAAAAGGGATTCGTTGGCCGTTTTCCAAACGTATTTGTACTGACTGGAGCAGAGTCTTAATAAATGTTATAATGGTAGGACTAAATAAATGCTGTTGCTGTTTGAATAATGAAAAACAAGGAATGGTTATTCTTCAGCTTTGCTGTGCGCACTTTATAAGAATGTGTGATCAGGGATAAAAATATAAGCAAATTCTTAAAAGCTGAACTATGGAAATGCTTAAATATAAGTCATTTTAAGGATATTTTGCTTTGGGTTAAACGTTTTTAATTGTATTAATAATCTCTAAAAACCAATAAAGTTGAAGCATTTCTAAATTTTTTGAAACAATTTAATAGTAACTTGATTTCGAACGTAGAGACCGAAAATTATTTGAAGATAAATTCAAACCAAGTTAGATATATAAGGTAGCCGTATCGGTGAATTTCTACAACAAAGCAGCTTTTGAGATACAATGATACGTCAATTTGTAAACAAGCGAATTAAGCTGTATTCGCCTTGATGTTTAAAATTTGAAGCAAGGTATATTTAATAAGGTAGCCGCATCGGCCCAGCTGTTGGACAAATAAATGTCAAAAATGTTGTTGTAATGTTGAACCAAAAAATTAAAAAACAAAATTATGAATGAAAATCTCCGAATTTCGAAGAGCTTTTTTGGCAATACTTTTATTAATATTTTCTACAAGAATTTGTGTAAAAAAATCTTGTCAATCTGTTTGTTTTGGCAAAATATTTTTGACATATCAAAATACAACAACCGATGTTTGTTGTAGAAATTCGCCGATGCGGCTACCTTGTATATCTACCTTGATTTGAAGCATATTCGTATATAACCAATCAAAATCGTTTGTTACGTTTGGAAGAAATGTTTGTTTGTTTTCATTCATTTTGATAATTCAAAATTTTATTATTTATAATTATTGTGGAAAACAGATAAAACAATGTTTGCAACATTCGTTTGAAGTGTTTAAAAGAAACCGTCACATTTTTTCATTCATTTAGGTGTTTGGAAAATTCCATTGACGTACATGTTGAACCAGGTAAAAACCTTTGTAATATTTTTATTATTACTTTGACCTACTCCTTTCGTAGAAACGTCATTTGACCAAACGAGTATACGTTTTCGGAGTGGGAATAGCAGAACAAGAGAGTATAAAATGATGGCAAAAACGAAATTTGTTTAATGAAATAATTGTCCGGAATATGTTCAAAAACGAATGACATTTCTTACCAACAATCTGAACATTGGTCGAGACTTAAGTTGTTCAAGTTGGTTAACAACGATTCAAATAGACACAGATCTTTGTATGAAAATTCACAAAATGGGTCATATTTTTAACAAAGAAGATGCCAGTTTATCAACAGTTGCCCAGCATGTGTTGGAGTTAATCATTACACACTGCAAGTTAAATTCATGTAAAATTACCTTTTATTATATTGTACTTGTTTGTAATTAATAAAACGGTTATTATTATTTTTAATATATTTATGTTGAGTGTTTACAAAGGAGATTATTTGAGCTTGAGGTCTTTTTTTAAATTAGTTTATTTATTCATTTATAATGTTTTATTGATTTATAATATTTTTCTGTTTTCTCCTTTGTCTTTGGCATGTTGTATTTGGTTAATACATTTTCTATTAGTACCTTTAGGGAACAAGTTTTGGGTCAGTATTTTTCATATTTTATTTTTATTATTTTCATGGAACTTATTGCCGCTGATATTTAATATTCTGTTTATAAGATTTCTTCCTGTGTTATTAATCATTTGTTTAGGGTGTTTGGAGTAGAAATTTAATATGCGACCAGAGGCGGTAGGTTTTTGGTACCAATCAAGTTCAATGTTGCCGTCTTTTCTCCTTATAAGTATGTCGAGATACGAAATAGAAATTGTTGAAAGTCGCCAAGGTTTGTATTATTGC